GGTGTAATATATATAAACTATGTAATGCTGAACCTAATGGTAATTTTGGACATTTTCAGTGTTCACTTTATATGCTTTTTAGAAACTAACTTTGGTGAAAGCTACTGCTCTGTATGAAAATCTTGGGTACATAATTAAATAAACTAAAAAAACATCAGCCTTAGTAAAATTCTAGACCTTAGGAAAAGGAATTCTGGTCTCTACAAGACCAAAGTTAATTTTTACAAATAACAGAAGCATCACTTTGACAAAGTGAGATTAATATAAACAGTGACCTTCAACTGTGCAGATGTTCTAATCTTAATTTTTGGTGTTATTAAGCAGCCTCAGATGTTAACACAGTGGTGATGACAACTATAATATATAACTTTCCCCTGCCAACCAATCTTGGTGAATGTGTTCCTTGAGTCTTAAGTAAAAACACACAGAAAGGATTTGGGGGGAGAGACAGGATTTGGGAAGAAGGGGTACAAACAAAGCTTTTTCTATTTCTGACATCCCTAAGTATCACTTCTAACAGCCAAGGGGAACAGTACACTTCCTCAGCAGGCAAACCCAAATCAATCCTGGAGACGAGAAGGATTTCCTAATCATATTAATCACACATGTTCACAAGAATCTACTGAAAATCTACTGTTAACCTCAAATATTATATGCAACAGGGATTCTTACTTCTTTTGGAGAAGGGTTCACAAAATCCTTTGAGGATCAGAAGAAAGCAATAAACTCTCTCCCCATAGAGATGCATATTCAGACATCTTTTTGTTTGTAACACTTAAAACCCCAGATTAAGGTCTCTGAGTATATGGCATCAGGGCACACAGAAATTCAAATGCTCAACAAAGAGGGGTTCAAAAAGTGAGAAGGAAAGGTGTTTATTATTCCAGCCACTCAGCACTCCCAGAAAGCCACATGCAGCAGGAGATAAGAGCCTCTGCCCTAATTCCTTCCCCCAGTGCTGGTTGTCATAATCATCCCACTCTTGTTGACAGGATGAAAAAGAGGCAGTTCTCTGTGTGGGAGTAGGAATTTCTTTCTCTCTCTCCACTTACAAGAATAGCTTTGCTCTAAGGGTTTGCCGGTTGTAAGACATTCAGGAGACAAGGTTTCAACATATATCCCCTACCTCACAACACTGTCAGGGTCAATTTGACTGATACAGTTGGCTAGATGGACAGCCCTTTCAGTGCTGTCTTTTCTGGAGCTTTGTGAAAATAGAAGAGTATATTCCCATAGGGAGGAGGATAATTGACTTTTTAGATCAGTTGAGTTGTATTCCTCATCAAAAGCTTCTGAACAAGGGAGCAAGAATAATTCTTTAATAATCACTAAGTGATGCATTCTCAGACACTAATACTTTACAGATGGATAAATTACATACTGTGAAAAAATGTCTCCATGGGAGCTCTGATGACCGTCTTTTAATCCCTCTTCACCGTAAGTATCATATTGTTTCCGTTTCTCACTATCAGATAGAACCTGGAGACAAAAAACAGTGGAGGAAAAGATCATGAATAGGTAATATTCAGGTAAGGTGCATTCATTCATATTTATGTTTCTTTAAAACTCTGATACTGTGTCTAAGATCTTAGTGGAATGTAGTTTTCATTATGTATGGTATTAAGGCATATTTATTTTCTTTAGCAGGCTAAATTCTTTGATGCATTCGTTGTTCATTTTGTATCTTCTGATTGCTTGATTCATGTTTTTAATTTAAATTAATCTGAACTCACCTAGTCACATAAAAATCATATCTGAGAT